GTCGAAATTCCAACTTTTTCGCCACTGGACCTGAGGAGTGTTCGAAAACCGGTTCGAGGGGGACGTTAGAAAATAGCGCGGACCTGGTTTACGTACCCGAAATCGGCGCTTTCCGTCGTCGCCCCCGCGGTTTTAAAAGCTAGGTTTTAGCGGTCGAAAAACTTCGCTTCTAAACAGGCTCTGATTACCAAGTGTTACGATCTAGGATCGAGCTCAGAAAAGAGAATGTGAATTGAATGATCACCTGGGTACAAGACGAGGCTATATATAGGCTCGACACAAGGCCCCGTAACCAGGTGTTACGCGAAGGTTCCGCGGGTCGCGAAGCGTCCCGAACAGATCCTTTCCGAATTCGGTAGAAGGCAATTCGGTGGCAACCGAAAAGCCAGAATTCGGTGCACGCAACCTAGCTCGGTGCTATAACTATAATAAAATATAGGAAAGCACCTAGCCTAGGAAATCAAGCAATTCATGCATGCATATAATTATCCTATGCTAGAAATAGCATAACAAAGTAAGGGCAAGCAAGCATAGCTGGCATAAGCCGTCGTACTCTCACACTGGGGGTAGCCATGACAGCAGTGGTCTAGCAGGGAGTGCTCTCTCCAGTCCGGGTGGGTAGGGCCAGGGCGCGCCGGTAGGAACAGGGCTGCAACCGCGGTGGCAGCGGCTCGGCAGTGGCAGTAGCGGCTCGACAGCGGATCGGCGGCAGCGGCTCGGTAGTGGCGGCTCGACGGCGGCCTCGGCGGCTCGACGGCTCGGCGGCTCGGCGGCTCGGCTGCTTGGCGGCTCGGCGGCTCGGCGGTTCGGCGGCTCGTCGGCTCGGCGGCTCGGCGACTCAGCGGCTCGGCGGTTCGGCTGCTTGGCGGCTCGGCGGCTCGGCGGTGAAGGGGCCGGGGAGGGGTCGAAAGGGGCGGCGACGGGGCCGCAAGAGGGCGGCGACGGGGCCGCGAGAGGTGGCGACGGGGCCGCGAAGGGCGGCGACGGGGCCGCTAGGGGCGGCGACGGGGCCGCGAAGGGCGGCGACGGGGCCGCGAAGGGCGGCGACGGGGCCGCGAAGGGCGGCGACGGGGCCGATAGGGGCGGCGACGGGGCCGCTAGGGGCGGCGACGGGGCCGCAAAGGGGCCGCGAGGGGCCTCGAAGGGTGGCGACGGGGCCGCTGGGGGCGGCGACGGGGCCGCGAAGGGGCCGCGAGGGGCCTAGAAGGGCGGCGACGGGGCCGCTAGGGGCGGCGACGGGGCCGCGAAGGGGCCGCGAGGGGCCTAGAAGGGCGGCAACGGGGCCGCTAGGGGCGGCGACGGGGCCGCTAAGGGTGGCGCGAGGGGTCGTGAGGGGGGCCTCTAGGAGGGCGCGACAGGCCGCTAAGGGCAGGGGACGGGACGAGAGGGCGGCCCACGGGGCGCGCCTCGGGCAGGGGCGACTCGCGCTCCGGTCAGGAAAAAAAAATCGATTTCAGTGGTGGGCCCTAAGAACCGTTCCCACTAGGGAACCTGCTCTATACCATGTGAAGAAATGAGGAATGAATGAACTAGCAAGCAGGTGGGTACAAGTAGGAAAACCTAAAAGTGTTGTACCCCATATTGTCTACCCCACTACAGCCTACACAGACTATAGCATATGAGTTTGACAGTATCCCGACATTTTCCTCGACGACCTGCCACCTGGACTGCCACCCGAGAGACTTGAGGACCACAAAATCCAGCTGGAACCTGGCGCGCAACCGACTGTTCCGACACAGTGGCGGTTGACCCAGCCGGAACTCGAGGAGCTGCGAAGTCAAATTGACGCACCGTTGGAGAAAGGGTTCATTCGGGCCAGCACATCTCCCTTCGCAGCACCAATCCTGTTCACTCCGAAGAAAGACGGCGGACTTCGCATGTGCATCAACTATCGCGCGCTGAACCGGGTCACCATCAAGTCTCGCTACCCAATCCAACGCACCGACGACCTCCTCGACCAACTTCGCGGCGCTCGATATTTCTCGAAGATTGACTTACGTGGCGGTTACCACCAGATTCGAGTCTTCGCCGACGACTGTCACAAGACTGCGTTTCGCACACGCTACGGGAGTTACGAATTTACAGTGATGCCTTTCGGCCTCACGAACGCGCCTTCGACATTTCAACTCACCATGAACAGGGTCTTTCGGGATCTTCTAGACCGATGTGTCATTGTCTACTTGGATGATATCCTGATTTTTAGCAAGACACGGGAGCAGCACCTCCGCGACCTGGATGCAGTGTTTAAGCGGCTGCAGGAGAACCGACTCATCACCAAGGGCTCTAAGTGCGAGTTTTTTAAGCAGGAGTTGGAGTTTTTGGGGCACGTCATCTCGCGCGACGGCATTAAAATCGACCCGGCGAAAATCAAGACCATACAGGAGTGGAAGTCCCCGACAAATGTCACGGAACTCCAGAGTTTTCTGGGCTTTGTGAATTACGTCAGGCGGTTTATCCCGAATATGGCGGGGATAACCGGCCCGCTGACCGACCTGCTGCACAAGGACAGGAATTTTGTGTGGGGGGAGGAGGCAGAGGCGGCTTTCCAGGAACTCAAGAATTTTCTCGTTTCCCCTCCTGTGCTGCGCATCGCCGACCCATCGAAGCCGTTCGAAGTCGTCACCGACGCCTCAGATTTTGCCATCGGAGCTGTGCTACTCCAAGATTTCGGGAACGGATTGCAGCCGATAGCCTACGAATCACGCAAGCTACAGGCAGCCGAACGCAACTACCTGATCCACGACAAGGAGATGCTCGCCATAATACACGCGTTCAAACTGTGGCGCTGCTACTTGGTGGGCGCCGACGTCACTGTTCGCACGGACCACAAATCCCTACAGTACCTGCGAGCCCAGCCCAACCTCAACCCACGACAAATACGGTGGCTGGATTACATGGAGAGCCATTTTACCTACCGCATCACATACAAGAAAGGGGCGAATAACATCGCCGACGCCCTGACCCGACCGACAGTACAAGCCGCTGCAGTACTCATTACCCATTCGAACCCATTACTTTCCCGACTATTCACCCACGGCTACACTACGGACCCGTTCTTCATGACTGGAAATCACCAGCAGGCCACGACGCCGAAAGGGGACTATTACCTAAAAGCCGGAACCGACCGGATTTGGGTTCCCGCTTATAGGCTGCTGTGTGAACTCCTTATCCAAGAGGTCCACGATTCTAATTTCTCCGGACACTTCGGGGTTGATAAAACCCAGAAATTACTGCACCGTCAATACTACTGGCCCGACTCCTCTAACGACGTGCAGCGATATGTGTCCTCATGCAGGGTGTGCCAAGCCATGAAATCGACACGTCAACGACCAGCTGGGCTGCTGCAACCCCTCGAGCCACCCGAACGACCGTGGCAGCAAGTGACAATGGATTTTGTCACTGGGATGCCAGCTGGGCCGTCCGGCAACGACGCTGTGCTCGTCGTCGTCGATCGCTTCACGAAAATGGCGCATTTTGCCCCATGTCGAACGACAATCACAGCCGAAGAAACTGCGCGCCTCTTCATCTCAACGGTCGTGCGACTGCACGGCATCCCTTCGGCGATCATCAGCGACCGAGACCCGAAGTTTACATCAAAGTTCTGGAAGGAGACATGGGCGCAGTACGGCACGAAGCTACAGTTCTCGTCTGCTTATCACCCACAAACGGACGGCCAGACCGAGCGGACCAATCAGACCATGGAGCAGCTGATCAGGACAAACTTCCCCGACCCTGCCCGCTGGGAAGAATCTCTAGCCATGTTGGAGTTCGCCTTCAACAACGCGCCGTCCAGCACGACTAATCACTCCCCGTTTTTGTCAAACTTATATGCTATAGTCTGTGTAGGCTGTAGTGGGGTAGACTATATGGGGTACAACATTTCTAGGTTTTCCCACTTGTACCCACCTGCTTGCTAGTTCATTCATTCCTCATTCTTCACATGGTATAGAGCAGGTTCCCTAGTGGGAACGCTTCCTTGGGCCCACCACTGAAATTTTCCTCTCTGACCGGAGCGCCAGTCGCTCCTGCCCGAGGCGCGCCTTTTTCGCCGCCCTTTCCAGGCCCCTAGTGGCCCCTAGCGGCCTCGTTGCCGGCCTCCACGCGGCCCCGTTGCCGCCCCTAGCGGCCCCGTCGCCGCCTCTCACCCTACGCGGCCCCGTCGCCGCACCTACGCGGCCCCGTCGCCGCCCCTACGCGGCCCCGTCGCCGCCCCTAGCGGACCCGTCGCCGCCCCTAGCGGCCCCGTCGCCGCCACTTACCCTACGCGGCCCAGTCGCCGCCCCTACGCGGCCCAGTCGCCGCCCCTACGCGGCCCCGTCGCCACCCCTACGCGGCCCCGTCGCCGCCCCTAGCGGCCCCGTCGCCGCCCCTATCGGCCCCGTCGCCGCCTCTCACCCTACGCGGCCCCGTCGCCGCCCCTACGCGGCCCCGTCGCCGCCCCCAGCGGCCCCGTCGCCGCCTCCCACCCTACGCGGCCCCGTCGCCGCCCCTAAGCGGCCCCGCTGCCGCTCCTAAGCGGCCTCGTCGCCGCCCCTAAGCGGCCCCGACGCCGCCTCTACGCGGCCCTGTCGCCGCCCCTAGCGGCCCCGTCGCCGCCCCCCCCCCCCCCTTCCTACGCGGCCCCGTCGCCGCCACTACACGGCCCCGTCGCCGCTCCCCTCCCTAAGCGACCCCGTCGCTGCCCCTAGCGGCCTCAACGCCGCCTCTACCGAGCAGCCCAGCAGCAGAGCCACCGAGCCGCCCAGCAGCAGAGCCGCCGAGCCGCCCAGCAGTCGAGCCGCCTAGCCGCCGAGCCGCCGGACAGCCGAGCCGCCCAGCAACCGAACCGCCGAGCCGCCCGACCGCCGAGCCGCCCAGCAGCCGAGCCGCCGAGCCGCCCGACAGCCGAGCCGCCCAGCAGCTGAGCCGCCCTGCCGTCGAGCCGCCACCAGTCCTACCGGCGCGCCCCGGCCCTACTTACACGTACTGGTGAGCTCACTCCTTGCTAGACCTCTGCAGTCATGGCTACCCCCAGTGTTCTTACCTTTGACACTAAGGGTCGTGCTGTTGACTTTGAGGTCTGGGTCGATGACCTCCAGCTGTTCCTCCAGTGCGATAGGACAGACGGCCTCTCTCTGTTCGACCTCACCTCTGGTGCCTCCCCTGCCCCGCCTGCTACTGCTGACAGCACTGTTCGCTCACAGTGGGCGACACGCGATGCTGCTGCCCGTCTTGCTGTGCGTCGCCACTTACCGACCACCGAGCGTGCACACTTTAGCCAGTACAAGAGTGCTCAGACCTTGTACGACGCTGTAGTTGCACGCTACTCTTCCCCTGCCACTGCTGCACTGAGCGGCCTCATACTACCGTACCTCTTCCCTGACCTTGCTACCTTTCCCACAGTCGCTGACCTCATTACGCACCTCCGCACTAGTGACACTCGCTACCGCGCTGCGCTCCCTGCTGAGTTCTGCGCCAAGAACCCCCCCCCCCCCCATGTACATCACCCTCTACTACATAGTCACCCGGCTCCCTGACTCTCTTCGCTTAGTCAGGGACCACTTCCTCTCAGTTTGCCCCACCACTCTCACCGTTGACCTCCTCGAGGAGCGCCTCCTAGCAGCAGAGAAGAGCATAGTAGCTGTAGGAGCCTCTCGTGGTGACCCTCGCACCCCCGTCTTTGAGGGGTGTTCCCCCTCCCCCCTCTTGCCCTCTGTTGCTTCTGCTGCTGCTGCCGACCTCGTTGGTTTCTACGGGGTCGGCGCTGCGTCTGCCCCTAGCGGGAGGCGCCGCACCGGCAAGGGCAAGGGGGGCAAGGGAGCTGGAAGGGCTATCGGGGGCGGTGGAGGTGGTGGTGGAGGCAGTGGAGGGGGTGGGGGTGGTGGTGGGAGTGGTGGCGGGGGTGGCGGCGGCGGTGGCAGCAGTGGAGGCGGAGGAGGCGGCGGTGGTGGCGGAGGGAGCGGAAGTGGCGGAGGTGGCGGAGGCGGCGGAGGCGCCGGCGGCGGCGGCGGAGGCGCCGGCGGCGGCGGCGGCGGTGGAGCTGCTCGCGACTCTACGCAGAGGAGTGGGTCCGGTGGTGGTCCGCGCCAGCAGCAGCAGCGCAGTCGTGAGACCCTGTCCCCTCAGCAGCTTCGTGAGTGGTACGCTGCGCGTCAGCGCGGTGGGGGTACTGGTCCCTGCACTTACGTTCTCCGCACCGGCGACCGCACTGGTGAGCAGTGCGGGGGCCCGCACTCCACCCAGCGCTGCTTCGGCTGCCTGACGGACGAGTGGCGTCACCAGTTCCCTGAGGCGTCAGAGATCCCTCGCTGGGGAGATCTGTCTAGGGCGGGGGTTGCCATCTTTGATCTTGACTATGATGCTATTCTTGCTGCCATGTATGCTGTGACTGTTAGTGTTGAGGGTGACTGTTACCTGTGTGTTCCGCCTGACCCGGGCATTGAGGCTGCTGCTCTAGGTGCTGGTGAGGCTGCTGCCCCAGGTGCTAGTGCGTCTGCTGCCCCAGGTGCTGGTGAGTCTGCTCTCTCAGGTACTACGTCGGCTCAGGCCTTACACACCTTCACCCTTGACTCGGGTGCTTCCCGCTCCTTCTTTCGCGACCGCACCACGCTTACGCCGCTTAGTCGGCCGGTTGCGGTCTCCCTGGCGGACCCCTCTGGGGGTCCTGTCCTTGCTAGCTTCTCCACTGTCTTACCGTGCCCGGCAGCCCCCTCTGGCACCCTGTCAGGTCTCTACCTCCCCTCGTTCTCTACGAACTTGGTGAGTGGAGCTGACCTACAGGATAGGGGGGTTGACCAGTTCACTCCTGCGAGTCAGCGGGTGACCCACTAAACGTGTGCTCGGACAGGCCGACACTTGGCCACGTTTACCCGTCGGCCAGGGTCGAGCCTGTACACACTTACTACTGAGTCTCCTCCGGCTGCTGCGTCTGGTCAGGTAGCTGCGTCGAGTCAGGTGTTTGCTGCAACGTCCAGGTCTTGTCCTGAGTCTGCTCCCTGCTCGTGTCGTCTCCTGTCCCACCAGACTCTCCTTTGGCACCACCGCCTTGGTCACCCCTCCCTGCCTCGCCTCCGAGGCATGGCCTCCCGTGTCCTTGTCTCTGGTCTCCCCCGGTCTCTCCCTCCCCTACCTCCGGGGCCTGCCCCTACTTGCGTCCCCTGCGTCGAGGGGCGACAGCGCGCCGCCCCTCACTCCTCCGAGTTTCCTCCGACGGAGGCTCCGCTGCAGACTCTTCACATGGTCGTGTGGGGCCCCGCCCGCGTCCGTGGACAGGGGCACGAGCGTTACTTCCTGTTGGTGGTTGACGACTACTCGCGTTACACCACAGTCTTCCCCTTGCGCAGCAAGGGCGATGTCACTGAGGTGTTGATCGACTGGATCCGCGCAGCTCGTCTCCAGCTCAGAGAGAGTTTCGGCTCGGACTTTCCTGTTCTGCGTCTGCACACTGACAGAGGCGGGGAGTTTTCCTCTGCCCGTCTGGGAGCCTTCTGTCGAGCACAGGGCATCCGCCAGACCTTCACGCTTCCGGCCTCTCCGCAGCAAAATGGGATTGCTGAGCGCCGCATTGGCATGGTCATGGACGTCGCTCGTACGTCCATGATCCATGCGGCTGCCGTCGCTCGTACGTCCATGATCCATGCGGCTGCCCCCCATTTTCTGTGGCCGTTTGCAGTTCAGTACGCAGCGCATCAGCTCAACCTCCAGCCCCGGGTCTCCTTGCCAGAGACCTCCCCCACCCTGCGGTGGACGGGGAAGGTCGGCGATGCGTCTGCGTTTCGGGTCTGGGGATCTCGGGCGTTTGTTCGCGACTTGTCTGCGGACAAGCTGTCCCCCCGTGCTGTTCCCTGCGTCTTCCTTGGCTTCCCCCCTGACGCGCCTGGTTGGCAGTTTTACCACCCCACCTCGCGCCGTGTTTTGTCCTCCCAGGACGTCACCTTTGACGAGTCGGTGCCTTACTACCGTCTCTTCCCCTACCGCACTGCGCCCCTCCCCCCGCCGCCGCTCTTCCTTGCGCCAGGTCCTCCCCCGGTAGACCCCCTCCCCCCTCAGGGTCTTGCCCCGTCAGGTGTGTCCCAGGTAGACGCAGTCGAGCCTGTCGAGGTAGCTGTTGACTCTGGTGCTGCTAGAGGTGCTGAGCCTGCGGGTGCCGGGTCTGGAGGTGCTGAGCCTGAGGGTGCGGAGCCTGGGGGTGCTGAGATTAGGGGTGCGGAGCCAGGGGGTGCTGAGCTTGGGGGTGCTGAGCCTGGGGGTGCTGAGTCTGGGGGTGCTGAGCCTGGGGGTACTGGGTCTGCTCGTGTGGCCTCGCGCGGTGCTTCTTCGAGGCAGGAGCCACTCTCTCCGCAGGAGCTGCGCGAGTGGTTTGCCCGGCGCTGGAGCCGTGCTGCTGGAGCTGGAGGTACTACTGTTGCTGCTGGTGCTGCTGGAGGTACTGCTGGAGCTGCTGGCGGTACTGGAGCTACCGGTCCTGCTGGAGTTGGTGCTGCTGGAGCTGCTGGAGCTGGAGCTGCTGGGGGTGTTGGCGCTGGTGGTGCTGCTGTACGTCTGAGGGTGCTGGAGTTGGCGCTGTTGGAGCTGGACGTGCTGCTGGCGCTGGTGCTGCCGCTGGAGGTAGTGGTGCTGTCCCTGCTGGTTCTGGAGGCGCTGCGCGGCCGAGGCCGTACTTCGTTCCGCTCCTTGAGCAGGTTCTTGGTCTTCCGCCTTCTACTGGTCCTGCCCCTCCCTTAGCGTGTCCACCGCCTGTCCAGTCGCAGTCATAGTTACAGCCCGCCTCCCCCCTGCCTGCTCCTTCTCCCTACACTGGTCCTACTGGAGGTCTTGCTGAGCGTCGTGAGCCTGCGTCTCGTCCTGCGTCGCCTGTTCGTGCTGCTCGCACTGGTGGTCGTACTGCGCGTCCGCGTCCTCCTGCGGTCCCAGGCACACACCAGATGGCACTGCGTCCTTCCACTGCTCCTCTGCGTGTCCCGTTGCCGTCTCCTCCAGAGTCCTCTCTTCCTACTCTTGCTGACCCGGAGTCTGACTCTCTTCGTGCTGCCAGTCCTTCTGTCACGCGTCTCCTGGCTACTGTTGTCACTAACCCTTCCTTTGAGTCCACTGCTGCGTCTGCCCTAGTTGCTGAGCTTGTCGACTTCGCTGCTCGCTGTCGTCTAGACTACGCTGCTAGTCTTGTTGCTAAGTCTGAGTCTGTCTGTCCTCCGTCCGTCGGGGGTGAGTGTGCTCTTAGCACGGACGTCCTTGATGACAGGCAGGAGGAGTTCCAGTGTTTTGCTGCTGCTTTGCCTCATCTCGTGTCCACGCTGATTGCCCCTGAGGGAGACCCGGATGCACCAGACATCCCGACTCCTCGATCGTACGCTGAGGCGATCGAGGGTCCCTACTCCTCTCAGTGGCAGTCAGCCATGGACGCAGAGATGGCTTCCTGGAATTCCACAGGCACCTACGTCGACGAGGTTCCCCCACCTGGGGCGAACATCGTCAGTGGCATGTGGATTTTCAGGGTGAAGCGGCCGCCGGGTTCTCCGCCTGTCTTCAAGGCGCGTTACGTGGCTCGAGGCTTCAGTCAGCGGCAGGGAGTTGACTACTTTCAGACCTTCTCTCCCACCCCGAAGATGACCACTCTTCGGGTGCTGCTGCACATAGCCGCTCAGCGCGACTACGAGCTTCACTCTCTTGACTTCAGCACAGCTTTTCTGCAGGGCAGCCTGCACGAGGAGATCTGGCTGCGCCGCCCACCTGGCTTCATTGGGTCGTTTCCTCCTGGTACCCAGTGGAGCCTCCGGCGGCCAGTCTACAGTCTCCGCCAGGCGCCCCGTGAGTGGCACGACACACTGAGGACTACACTTGCGGCTCTTGGGTTTGCTCCTTCTACAGCCGACCCGTCGCTGTTTCTGCGCACCGACACCTCTTTGCCGCCGTTCTACATCCTCGTGTACGTCGACGACTTGGTCTTTGCCACTGCTGACACTGCTGGACTCGCCCACGTGAAGTCCGAGCTGCAGAAGAGACACACGTGCACAGACCTGGGTGAACTGCGTAGCTACCTTGGCTTGCAGATCACCCGGGACAGAGCACAGCGCACCATTACCCTGACTCAGTCACACATGGTGCAGCAGGTCCTTCAGCGCTTCGACTTCACGTACTCCTCGCCTCAGGCCACTCCTCTGTCTACTCACCACTCGCTCTCAGCTCTACCTTCGGATGAGTCCGTAGAGCCGAGTGGCCCGTACCCAGAGCTTGTTGGCTGCCTCATGTACCTGATGACCTGCACTCGACCTGACCTTGCATACCCTCTTAGCATCTTGGCACGCTATGTTGCTCCTGGGAGACACCGACCAGAGCACATGGCTGCAGCGAAGAGGGTGTTGCGCTACTTGTGCAGTACGTCGGGCATGGGGCTAGTGCTTGGAGGGCGACGTCCAGTGGTCCTCACAGGTCACGCAGACGCTTCTTGGGCTGACGACCAGGCTACGCAGCGGTCGTCACAGGGTTACACCTTCAGCCTTGGCTCCGGCTCTGTTTCGTGGTGGTCTACCCGCTCGTCTTCCGTTCTCGGCTCCAGTTTTGAGGCTGAGATCTACGCGGGGGCCATGGCTGCACAGGAGCTACGCTGGCTCACCTACCTGCTGACTGACCTAGGAGAGCCGCCTCGTTCTCCTCCAGTTCTGTACGTAGACAACAAGGCCATGCTGGCCTTGTGTCGGGAGCACAGACTGGAGCACAGAACGAAGCACATTGCTCTCCGCTACTTCCTTGCTCGTGAGCTGCAGCAGCGTGGTCAGCTGCGCCTTGCTTACGTGGCCTCTGAGGCCAACACTGCTGATATCTTTACCAAGGCACTTCCGCCTGGTGATCATCAGCGCTTCTGTACTATGCTAGGTCTTGTGCCTTCTTGGCCTCACTTGCTCACTTCTTGACCTTGCTTGTACTGTGATCTTTCTATACCTGCACTTGCTTGTTTACCTTTATATATGATCTTGCATGTGAACTGGCCTTTTGGCCTTGCTCTTGTGCTCGGATTGTGTGGTGACGTTGTGATCCACCCTGAGCTTGCTTTGCTTTGCTTGACTGGTCTTGTGACCTCTTGTTCTCCCCCACTTTGCCTATGGGGGTGTGTCAAACTTATATGCTATAGTTTTTGTAGGCTGTAGTGGGGTAGACTATATGGGGTACAACATTTCTAGGTTTTCCCACTTGTACCCACCTGCTTGCTAGTTCATTCATTCCTCATTCTTCACAGTTTTTCCTGAATTACGGTATGGACCCGACGGTGCCTACGGCAACTACTCTCGACAACCCGGTCCTGAGGTCACAAACTTTTGTGACGGAACTTCAGGAAGTCCGAGAAAAAGCCATAGACGCAATTCGCAAAGCGAATATCACTTCCCGCAAATACACCGACCTTCTACGCCGGGAACTCGTCTTGACCACTGGGCAACTAGTGCTACTTGACACGAAGAATCTGCACCTGCCCGGCCCGTCCAAACTACGACCACGATTTTGTGGGCCCGTCAAGATTATCAAGATGGTGACACCTGTCACCGCGAAGCCTTCCACGTCAGCCTGCTTCGGAAATTCGTGCCAGCCACGACTGACATCGCGCGGCAACAAGCTGCCCCAACTGCACGACCTGTCCCGGAGCCGACTCTCGAACCTTCGAAGATTCTGGCACATCGGGTTCGACTTGGCGCAGCTGGTCGCCACGTGGATTTCCTGGTCCGTTGGACTGATCGCACCAGTGAGGACGAGACGTGGGTGCACTCTGACTCGCTGACCGCCTCGTCACTTGTTGGTGATTACTTGGCGCGCCGGCGTGTTTCGGATATTGACCGCCTTTCTTAAGGGGGGGGATAGTGTAAGGAATTTTCCCGAATTCCTTATCGAGGTTGACTGCTGCGCGTACAACCCGATTTTCGGACTTTGCACGTTCGGCCGATTTCAACGCTGCCGAGGCTCCTCGCGTCGCCTTCGGCATTTCCCATTGCCAAACCTGCACCCCAACCTCGCTCGTCCGAGGTTTCCTCCTAGCTAGGCCAACCCCTACATTAGTCTGTGCCTTCATTGTATTCTCAGATCAGTTAATCACAGTCTCGTTATTCGTTTACCTGCGCACTCTCTTTTACAACTCATAACAATCACTACCAGTTGATGAATGAACATGAGAGTTCATATATTTTCATAATTTTTTATGAATGAACATGAGTGTCCGACTTCGGCCACAACAGGCAAGTTTACCCAACGCGCACGCTGGGGAGTCCACTTGGGGCTCAGTCACGAGTACCAGGGCTGGCTGATTCTCGACATTGACACCAAACAGATCGTCCCTGCCCGCGACGTAAACTTCTACGAGTGCCTCACCTTGCAACAGTGGATCGAGGACGAGCACTGCAATGTCACATGTGCCTACGCCAACAACGGCCGCAGCTTTGCATCTCCGGAAGACAAGGTAGCAGCAGCAGCAGCACTCGACCGTGACCCCGCCGATGAACATCCAGACGTACCGTCTCAACCGCGCGATGACGACGATGATGACAATGACAACGACGCTCCTACACCAAGACCATCATGTCGCCACACTCAGCCCAACACTTCTTTACCTGCCTATGACAGTGACGATGACGATGTGGTGGAGGTTACCGCCACAGACACTACAGGCACCACCAATGTGTCCGGCCTTTAGCTTCTTGGCCTACACCCGTCAGTCACCACTCTCACGCGCGCCGTCGAACCCAAAAACCCACGCCACGCCCTGACCAGTCCTCACGCCAGGCCCTGAGCGGTCCTCATGCCAAGGAATGGCGTGATGCTAAAGGCGCTGGAATCACGCGACACGTGGGTCCTAGTCGATCGTGCAGCAGTGAAGGGGAGGAGGGTGCTAAACGGAAAGTGGGTTTTTTGCCTAAAAACCAACACTGACGGTACTTTTGAGCGCTTCAAGGCACGATGGGTCGTACGCGGATACGACCAGCGCCACGGCAATTTTTTTTATCAAACCTTTGCTCCCGTCAGCCGTCACACCTCCGTCAGGATTCTACTTGTCATTGCTGCCGCTAAGCACCTACCACCGTCGCAGATCGATGTGAAGAACACGTTTTTATACGCGCTGGTGGATCCAACTATTTTCGTGGAGCAGCCACACACCTACAGGGAAGGAGACCCAAGGGTCTGTCAGCTGAAGAAATCCCTCTACGGGATAAAACAGGCGCAACATCTGCACAAAATCCCCTTGGAAACTGGCTTCATGCAGCTGCCGCACGACCCGGAAATGTACCGCCTTCACTTCAGTAGTGATTACATCCTCTTGACCATCTACGTCGACGACCTGCTACACACCGACACCTGCAACTAACTCCTCAATCAGTTCGAGGAGAACCTGGCGCAGCGCGTTGATATCACCATCAACCACAACGTCACACTGTTTTTGGGGCTGAACATCACCTGCGTGCCAAAAGCAATTCACCTGTCATCCTCGAAGTACGCAGAGCAGCTGGGGGAACGCTTCAACATTTCACCCGCACCACTTTCAACTCCTTACCGCAGACCCACCGCCAACTACAAACCGGACAACAAACCTCTGTCGCTCGCAAGAGTCCAACTGTACTAGCAGCAACTGGGGTGCCTGCTGTTCGCATCTGTCACTTGCCGACCCGACCTTTCGTACATCGCCAGCCAACTAGCACAGTACTCTCGCAAGCCAGTAGCTGAGAACCAGCTAGACCTGTAGCGCGCCCTGCAGCACTTCATCTCTACACCCGACATCGGGCTCTTCTATTCCACGCTGACGACAACCTCCTTCAACCTCAATGGCTACATGGACGCAGATCATGCAGCTGATCCTGCGAACTGACGGTCATGAACCAGCTTTGTCTTCGGCCTGAAGCCAACAGGACCAATCTCCTGTAACTCGCAAAAGCAATAGCTGGTTGCCCTGTCATCGGCCAAAGCAGAATACATCGCTACGACAGCAGCAGTTCGCGAAGGTCTGTACCTGCAAGAGTTGCTTTAGGAAGCGAAAATCCCAAC